CTCTCAAGAAAAATCACAAGAAATATTTTTTATTATAAAGCACTTTGATTTTGCTGTAAATTTTCATAAAGAAATAATTTTATACTTTTAAATGTAAACAAAATTTCTATCAGCTGTTCGTCTAACTTGCAAGTTTCTGTACATTTTCTGTTCGTGTACTATTTGGAATATTTTGCTTTTGTGAAAGAACAGATGACATTTCGCCAGAATTTTGCTGTTGGACATTTTTTACTGGAGATTTTAAACGAACGTACCTATTGACTAACCAACATTTAACAGACCTGATACGAACGGTTTTAACTGACGTAAAACCATATTTTTAAAATTTCGCCAAAGGGATATTTTGAATTTTCTTTAGTATCTACATTAGAATAATAATAAAATTAATGTTTTTCATTTCTAATAATAAGTTTAGTTAAAAATAAAAATTTCTTTTTGTTTTTTTTTGTGGCCCTTTGTAGCATTTAGATTTTACATGAGGCTCTTTTCGGCCTCGGCCTTGACCACCCCTGCCTTATAATATACATAATAAACCATTTTTATTGGGCTTGAGGCCAATTTATAATGAAAAACTATTGTGGAAAAGCAAAAACGGCCTCAAGCTCAATAAAAATTGTTGAATATAATCGTTATAAGGCCATAAAATAACAAAAACAAATAACTTAAGAACGAGCACACCTAAAAGTTAAACATTCTAGAATTATTAACAAAAACCAACTTCCACATGATCAACTTTAAATAGTACTGGAATAGCAGCGCTTGATTGTAGTTGGCTTAACAAATGAAAAAGTGGAAAAAGCAACAAGAATTTACAAGGCGAACTTAGCACGGTGCGTAGCCAACTGGCTGAGTCAGCTGGGGTCGTTGGATCGAATCCCACTGAAAGAAGTCTGATGAGAAAATGTGGGGATTTCCAAAATAGCTATCACTTCTACCATTTTTTTCCAATTATTGTTTCTTTCCACAATAGTTTTTCATTAAAATCGGCCTCATTCTCAATAAAAATAGTTGAAAATAACCGTTATAAGGCCATTAAATAACTTTCTACAATGTAGCTTTGCAGAGAATGCTTCGGCCACTAAATTAACATATTAACGAGAGATAAATTAATATTTCATACCAATAATTGCATGAAAAATGATATTTATTGCTGTCAGTTGATTAAAAGGAAAAAATATTTCACATAATTGCATTTATTTGCAACAGCTGATGACCGACGCACGCGATCTTTCTGCTTTGTGTTGGCGTTAGCGTTGCCAAATTTTGGCTATGTGGACGGCTGCATAACTGCTACAAGTAGCAAACTATTTTGGGGATGTTAAAAAGTGTAGTTGTTTCTGCGGCATAAACGATTATACTATCCTCTTTACTTATTTTTCTCTGTAAAGACAAAATACATGCATATGTACATTAGACTGCATCACTCCCCATACAAAAAAAAAACGGGACTGTTTTTCCATTGGAATTATAAAATCTATTTTATTTTAAGACGTCCACCAAAATATTTTGGAAAAATTTTAAGATTTAAGCGAGCTGGACCGATTTGAACCTCCAAAAATGGAGTTTTTTATAAATAAAAATAGTTTCTTAAAGATGTTTTTTGAAAAAATCCCCTCAAATGACAAAACGGTTTAAGCTTAAAACATTTACATAAAAATAAACAATTAGTTTGAGCGGAATCGTAATAATGAGATATTGGATGCTGTTTTTTAACTTTTTTTAAAGATTGGTATAAGAAAAACTTAAATAACTGGACCTAAACTCTTCCGATTTAGACTCGCGAGGTATCATTGGAAAGGTATTTTCTCACCCTGTTTATTTCTTTGCTAATAAGCTCATTCAAAGGATAAAGAGAAAGGTAGCATGAACGAACTGCATTCAAAGTTGAATTAAGATGTGTTGGTATTTGAAAAAAAAAAATTGGGACACGAATGACCTTTTTTTGCACATTAATAAAAATAGTGGGAAAATACCTTTCTACCGAGATCCCATAAGTTTAAATCAGAATAGTTTTGGCCCAGTTATTTACGTTTTTCGTAAATCAATCTTTGAAAAAACCGCATCAAAAATCGCATTATAAAGATTCCTTTGAAAATATTTTTAAATATTTTTATTTTTTAAGCCTAATCTGTTTTGTTATCTGAGGGGACTTTTTTCAAAAAGTCCTTTAAGAAACTATTTTTATTCATAAAAAACTCCATTATTGGAGGTATTCTCAAATCGGTCCAGCTCGCTTAAATCTTAATATTTTTCCGAAATATTTTGGTGAACTTCTTAAAATATAATATATTTTGTAATCCCGGTGGAAAAACCGCAACTTTTTTTTGTGATATAGTCTAATGTACATACATACATAAATACATACATACATACATATATAAATATGCATGTTATGTATGTAGATATTTATGTATACAACTTTAAAAAATATTGTATTAAATAATCTATGCTTTGTATATAAAAGAATTTTATTGCATGCAAGCAAAAGCACACATGGCAGGAGCGAAAAAAATGTATAACTTTTGACTGCTTGCAAGTTTCCGTGTTTTTTTCTTTTAAGTAATGTATTATAGAATAAGGATTTATATTCAATATAAACGATTAAAAGATTTGATCGAGAAGTAACAAATATTTCCATTTGTTTATACAAATTTTGTATAAAAATTAAAAATTTTGTACAAAATAATGATTTTTTGAAAAACTGGAACAATCAGGCTACAGCGTGTCTAATTGACTACACGGTCAAAAA